GCTAGTCTCAAACTCCTGACCTCAAGCAAATCTCCTGCCTTGGCCTCCCAGAGTGCTAGGATTACAGGCATGAACCACTGGCCTGCCAGGTTTTACAGAATTTGATATAAAATGACTTAATAGGAGGTTGGAAGGCATGATTAGTGGTAAATTGATTTGGGGGTTCTCACTTGTAGGAGTCAGCTTTTTGGTGGAGCCATTATGTACTGAGGTCTTAATTTAGATGTTGATTTTTTTAAATGTTCTATTAACTGATACAGTAATAATATTCAATTTGAAATTTTTTTTTTTTTTTAGAGGCAGGATCTTGCTCTGTCACTCAGGCTGGGGTGCAGTGGCCCGATCATAGACTTTAACTTAGAACTCCTGGGCTAAAGGGGTCATTGTACCTCAGCCTCCCACTATGGGAGCTCAAGACCAGCCTGAGCAAGAGTGAGACCCTGTCTCCACTAAAAATAAAAAAATTATCGGGACATGGTGGTACACGCTTGTGTTCCCAGCTACTTTTGGGAGGCTGTGGTCCCAGCTACTTGGGAGGCTGAGGCAGGAGGATTGCTTGAGCTCAGGAGTTTGAGATTGTAGTGAGCTACGATGATGCCACTGCACTCTACCTGGGGTGGCAGAGCAAGATTTGGTCTCAAAAAAAAAAAAAAGAAAGATAACTGCATAAATATGCATGAGACACCACTGCTAGGGCAATGGCATTGGGCTAGAGAAAAAGGGATATAACTAGAAAGTTGCAAGTGTCTTAACTTTGGTTAAAAATTGCCGTAGTTAAACACTCCCTAAATTCTTTACTTTGAATTTCCTTGACTCTACCCACTCTCCTGTATCCCATATTCTTCAGTATATTTCTCCTGGTATCATTCTGTTTCTCAAATGATATTTTAAGTCCCCTTTTTCATGCTACACGAACATCCCTGGGAATTCTCTCTCTGTGTATTAGGCTTCTTCATCTGAGTATTAGGCTTCTTCAGCTTCTGATTTCAGAACACATATATTCAACATCATCACTCCAATTCTATGTATATAAAATCAAATTTCATTCTCTTCTAAAACCTTTCTTTCCTGCCTTCCCTCTCAGTGAATTAGCAGTAACCCAACTTATCATTAGATTATATGGATTCTGTCTCTAAGATCTTCATTTTTTTCTTTTGCATTTCTGATACAACTGTCCTAATTTCTTTTTCAGTAATATTTGTTTGGGTTCTCTTTGCCCGTTTTCACTCCATCTATTCTCTTCAGTTGCCTTGAGGAATCATCAGTAGTATTTAGTACAATAATTTTGGATTTCTCCAGTGGCTTCCCTTCACCTATATGATTAAATAATCATCTTTCCTTCATATATACTTTTTTACTTTGTCCCCTGAATAGTGTTCTTCCTCTAAATCTTTCACTCTTAGTTACTTTCAGCTTTACTAAATTACTTGTGGCCACTAAAGCATGGGTCAGTGAACTTATCGTATAAGGAGCAAGATAGTAAATATTTTAGGTTTTGTGAACCATAGGGTCTCTGTTGCTACTACTCAAAAGTTGTATTGTAGCTCAAAAGCAGTCGTAGATGGTACATAAACAATGGATGTAGCTGTGTTCCAATAAAACTTTATTTGCATAAACAGGTGGTAAACAGAAACCTAGTTTGCTGACCCTTGATCTAGGATCCACTTTGTTCTTTAATACTACCAGCCTTTGTTCATGCTGATGCTTTTATCTAGAACCCACCGTCCCAACAAAGCTGCCTACTAGACTAAGCTCACAGGGGGCATCTTTTTGTATTTGTAACCTGAGCTACTAAATAGTACTTTTTCACCCACTTGGAATTAAGAACTCACAGGTAACTGGACATTTTACTATAGGAAGCACTGTGATGGGGAGCTACGTTAGAAAGTAGTCTGCTCTAAAAAATTGAACATTAAATTTTCATTCAATGAATGGCATAACTAAATATTTGCAAGATTTATATATGTATATTTATTTATAGACAGGGTCTCACTCTGTCCCCCAGGTTGGAGTGTAGTGGCATGATCATAGCTCACTGCAGCCTCAAAGTCATGGGTGGGGTAGCTACGACTATAGGCATCTGCTACCACATCCAGCTAATTTTTAAATTTTTTGTAGAGATGGGGTCTCACTCTGCTGTCCAGGTTGGTCTCAAACTTGTGGGCTCAAACAGCCTTCCTGCCTTGGCCTCCCAAAGTGGTTGGATTACAGGTGTGCGCCACCATGCATGGCTTGCAAGCTTTGATAAGAGTAAAATTTCAAATTGGATGGTGGTGGTTTAAATTAGAGTTTTAACAAAATTGTCTACTTTGGTATATCTTTAAAAAAACCTTTATTTATGTTATCAGATATGGCCATGTGGGCATTTCTCGATAACTTGCTTACCAGAAATCATTGGAGCATTTCCAATAATAAGTATATAATGCAAAATATTTCAAAATCCAGAAACATCCGAAATCTGAAACACTTCTGGTTCCAAGCATTTCATATAGAGAATACTCAACTTGTATGTTATGATTTTGTATAGTTGAAAGTGCCTTCTTAGCCATCATTATACTATTCACTTGTTTAGCTTCTCTTGGGATAGTTAAAATAGTAATTTGTACAAGGTAACATTTTATATTCACAATCTGAGTTGAGACTTATAACCCAGAAGAGAGCAAAATGTAATGTCAGTCCTTTTCTATGTGTTCTATCATTGGTGTCACTTCTCCTTAGTCTTAATAGAGTTGTTTAAGCATGGCATATCATCATGCAGACATTTGATTTGTTTCCCCTTCTTTTTAGCACTGCTCATTTATTTCTTGGCTAGATGCTAGGCTGGTCTGTGTCTGAGTTTTTAGCTACATCATACATTCCTTTTCCCCACTCAGAAGTCCTGGTCAAATTCACTATTCCAGAGCTCACATTTGAGGAGGATAAAATTTGCTTACCAGAAATCATTTAAAAATTTGTAGTACTTGAATAAAACCTTAAGCTGTGATAAGGAAATGTCTTCAACCTATTAAAGTAATTGGGTGTTTGCGAATAGTTATTTTTGTCTTCTTTATTCTAAAATAATATATGTTTGCTTTGTTTTTAAAGTAGTGTGGTTGTTACGACTCTGGAATGTATCTCTCCACACCGCCCCCCCCCCCAAAAAGGGGGACGTTGTGCCAGGGACAGGTTAAGGCTTACAGTGGGGAGAAGGAAATGTTACAGCATAGGCAGGCTAACGTGAAAAGTTTGAATAACTTTTCTTAACATACAACTAAATCTTTGCAGTAAACAAACCAAAAATAATGAGTATCAAGTAATAGGTGTATATAAGACTCTTTAGGAATTTATTTGCTGCAAAATGTGGAATTTCTGTGCTTTCACTAAAAGAAAAAATATTGGTTTTTTTGGAATTTTTTTTGCAGTCAGATCAACCAAGATAGGGCTTTTATCTTTGGACTTCTTAAAATAGGCCACTCTGAGATCCAGAAATTTGTAGGGTAAGAGCTCTAATAGTAAAGACTATTTCCAGCTATTCCTTGTTGTCTGAAGCTAATGGAATTAGAAATTGTATTGGAGTGACAGGCATGCTCCCCATACCTAAATTTTCTTTCCTGGTATATCATATTTTTTTTTCTTCAGATTAGATTGATTATAGTTCTCTTCCCTTCTTTAACTTCCCAGGAGAAAGAGAATTTTCCTGCCTGTCTTTGGATAGGCATCTGCCCAAAGATTTGAAGGCCATACCATACAACTAAACTTGGACAAGTGCAATTATTCAGCTCATTATTCCCAGATTTTGTTTAATCTGGGGATCAGGGAATTGCTGTGATACCTAGAATGGGATTTTATCTGGATAATTAACTTTGTTCATTTTGAATAATAAACCTATTGATCCAAACATCAAATTCTGACAAATTTTTGAAAAGTCTTCTCAGTTTTCAGACATGGTTTTGATTTTTGTGATAGGTGTGGGAGTGTGATTCTACCAATCCCTGCCCTGTCCATACACATAAATCAAGAAAGTCGTAATTTTAGATCTGTATACTTATTTTAGTCCTGGGGAGGGACTACCTTAACTGTAACCCATGTCCAAATATATCCCATCTTAATGGGCTCCAATTTTAGTTTTCTTTAATTATAATTGATAGCTGATAAACAGAATTTAGTTATACAGAATAAAATAAGCTTTTTATCCTTTCAAAATGATAGTTGTATGACCATGAGAAGCATACTTATCCTTAGTATTTGTTACAGTTCATTCCTATTACTAAGTAATCTTGCAGTAAAATATTTCCTTTCAAGATCCACTTCTTTGGTTCTTGTATAATAGTCTGCTGTCTTGTTTGTTAAGACTTCAGATATCCTCTTGAAGCTTTCTTGTATGGCATGTAGAGTTCCTGCTGCTATAGTTTGGTCATGCACATATTTCCCCTATTGTAAAATGCCGAAGTAAGCACGTTATAAACATGAAATTGGAGCAAATAAATGGATATGGATTGGCATTTTGACCTTATAGGTTAAAATAAGAGTAGATGTGGTTTAGAGGTCAGAACCATTTCCCTGGATAGTTAAACTAATTAAGCTTCAAGTTTAACCACATTTGACAAATGCTTCATTCAGAAGATGTGGTGGGCACCTCATTGAGGGGTAATGGATTGCCAAGAAATACTTGTTGCTTTTTTTTTTTTTTTTTTAAATAATGAGGAGCTATTGTGAGAGATACCATTTTATCTGTGTAGCATGCTTGCATAGCATATCTTTGCTACTTGTGAAGACAAAATTATTCTGGCAATTTGATTTCAGATAATTGACTTTCTGTAATCAACACTTAAGACAACCTAGGTGACGCTTCAGAATTATAGGAAAATATGAATGCTTTGAGGTTCATAGAATTGTGCTATTTTCAGCTCTACCTCCAGCCCAGCAATAATCAGTCTAGGTTTTTAAGATTTAAAATGAAAAACATAGCTTCAAGCTCACCAAAACTTAGTGTATAAAATGATCCTTTTTTTTCTTTGCAGAAATGGAATCTATTTGGAATTTGCAGAAGCAAGGTAAGAATGGTTAGATTACTTGAAGTGTTAATACCAGTCAGTATTTACTGTGTATTATTTTGGGGCAGGAATAACAGATGAGTAGACTTTGTTTTTCTTTTTTTTTTTTTTTTTGAGACAGAGTCTCGCTTTGTTGCCCTGGCTAGAGTGAGTGCCGTGGTGTCTAGCTCACAGCAACCTCAAACTCCTGGGCTCAAGCAATCCTCCTGCCTCAGCCTCCCGAGTAGCTGGGACTACAGGCATGCGCCACCATGCCCGGCTAATTTTTTCTATATATATATATATATAAATATATATATATATATATATATTTAGTTGTCCAGATCATTTCTTTCTTTCTATTTTTTTTTTTTTTTTGGGTAGAGACGGGATCTTGCTCTTGCTCAAGCTGGTCTCGAACTCCTGACCTTGAGCAATTCACCCGCCTTGGCCTCCCAGAGTGCCAGGACCACAGGCGCGAGCCACCGTGCCCGGCCTAGACTTTGTATTTTGAATTATTTAATAACTGCAGTCAAAAATCACTAGCTACCATACCAGGACTGCTAAAGATGGGGTAACAGTGTAAGTGAAAAGAATATGTGAAAGTCTTCTTCCTGCTGGTTGAAGAATGTGAATGGTTTATTCCCTCCCTGACTATGAAAGTAAGACAAACCATAAGTGTTTTTAATCTAGGAAACCAACATGATTAAGTGTTTCCACTTTTGGCCAGTCTTTAGCTATGTTTGGTGGTAGGCAAGGGATAGCCTAAGAACTGAAATTCACAGTTCAGAAAAATATTAGCTGTTGTAGAAACCTTATCTGGGCTGTATGTTCTCTGAAAAAATGGTTAGAAATTAAAATTGGTTATACTAATTATCGTGCGCCTTCTTACCAAATAGAATGCTTTTATTGTGGAATACACGAAATAAAGTGAGAGTTTTGGTTGGAGAACCAGTCACTAACTAATAGATTTGGATTTTCAGAGCCATGTAACTGAATTGTATCCCATTCCTCATCTATTACGCTAGTTAATATAAATGAATTTCAGATGAATGTGAAAATCCTAGAATTTCAGGACCCAAAATACATTAGAAATTCTCTTCTTATTTTACGTATTATGAAACTGAGGCCCGAAGAGTGGTAGGACTAGGACTGCAATGTAAGTTCCCCTGATTTCCCAACATTGCTCCTTTGACCCCTCCTCCTTGTTCTTAGGTCAAGGTTTTGTTTAACATAGCTGTGGCCTGACGATATGACTAGCAAGCTCTTAAATTATTTTGAGTTGATTTTTCTGTCTACCTTCTTTTCTTTCCTTTTTTTTTTTTTTTT